AACAGGTGGCCACTTTCTAACTTTCTCTTATATTTTAAACCACCACTATAACCAATCATAAAAAGCGCTAAAAATAAGTTTAGTTTCAGTATGGTTGTATTTTGAGCAGTGTGAGCGTGACGGAATTTCGTTATGTAACATAATTTCGTTGCAGTGGATTGATTTTACTTCAATATCCAAATTTTTCAATTCAAAAATAATATGACTCTTCAATTTTCTGTAATTTAAGAAAGTTATCTTCATTATGGATTAACATAAGCTGTAAACGTTTAAAGTCGTGGAATGCCTTACAGAAATTGTGAACTAAAGAGGCAATGCTTTTAATTAGGGAACTAATCTGTTCTCTCGTAACATATTCTTCTCTTTAACTGGTTCAAAAGCTCAATCGTACTTTACAAGTACTGTCCTTTCCTAAAGGATTAAATATTACAATAAGATATTAGAAGATATTCGCGTTGTGGGTTTGGGGTTTGTCAAGTACTTACTTTTGGCACAAAATTCTCGACTTGCGTATCAATTTGGTAATATATAGCTTTCTATACTTAAGCATCCAAGAATACGATGGTATATAGTCTCTTAATTGTTTGAAATTCGTTTTTAAAAGTTAGATAAATAATTAAAAACAAAAATATTGAAAAATAGTTTATATAAATTTTGAAACTTTGTATAAAACTTAAATATTGTAAATATTTAACCAAAATCGCAGAATTTTGTGTGTGAAACCATAATTTATACACTATCTAAATATGCCTGCATTGTACTTAATACACATATGTATGTATATAGTACATACTATATGTGTTTGAAAATTTTCACAAATTTCAAGTGCAACGCATCGTTTAGTTTTAGCCTGCCCATTTGTTTGCTGCCAGTAGCAATGTGTTAGTCGCTCAATTAAGCTGTCACGTTTTTAGATTTTGACAGCATGATGACAAGCAAAATACCCAAAGTCATTTTATTTACTTAGCAAGTGAATTTTTGTCACTGCAAGTGCAATGTCATTGAGAAAATTGCTGGGGAAATGAGAGTCGCTAAAACTTTTTATTTTAATAGTCTTAGCTGTAGTGTCTTTAATTTAAACAGGAAAAATGAATGGGTATGGGTAAATTTAAATGAAAATGTGAGTTATTACTATTCTATGTTCGTATAGTATATACTTAGTTCTGCCATAAGTTCTCTTACAAGATTAGACCATGACAAAAATCAAACTATGTTATTGGTATTAACTAAGATAACTTTTTTTAAACTCTTCTCATATTCACTGTGTCATTCGACAGCCCATATTTTCCAGCCTTGAGCACAAATTGTAGTCCAATGGATTTAACTTTGGGCGTCCAGATAGTCAATCCATCTGAAGCTTCGAAATCAGGAACAATGATTTGAAGACACTGCTGGGTGTTATTTGCATTGAGTGTTGTAACAGAATATTGTAGCAGCTGAATGGTGGAAATGTTGAACCCTTGGAATAACATTTAATGTATCTTTGAAAGTTTTTGTGTAGTCTTTATGTTAAGCCTTTTTCAAACGTAAAATCTGTTCTGTAAGAGCAGTTGACCACAAGCCACTGAAGAAGCCGCGATCTATTTTTCTTTAAGTTGTCAGAAGATGACCAGCTGACCGACTATACGTATTCATGTACAGATCATCTCGGATAATTCTTGACATTAATATGATCGATATATTAAGAGTGATCCATTTCGAGGTACCCAATATTTTTAAAGAAGAAACACAGAGACTTCAAATTTAATGCAGAATGTTTATTATCATTCGGAAAAACATTCTTTGGCATTTATGTTTTGAAGATTATCAGATGGTCCATCAGTTGAGTTCAATTTTCGATGCCTTCTTCGAACATTTCAATTGGTAACTGGCGAATTACACGGGTGAGGATTTGCTCCAAGGTCTGCATTGAAACGGATTGTCCGCATAGATTTTAGACTTTATATTACCTCCCAGAAAAATGTCTAACGGCGTGATATGACTTGATTTTGGTGGTCAATCGATCGGCACGAAACGTGAAATTATCTGCTCTTCGAAGTGTATTCTCAATGAATATATTGATTAATGCAATGTGTCGGAATTGGCGCCGTCTTGTGCAAACCAAATGTCGCGAGCTTCAATTTCAGTTAACAAATAGTCCATTACTATGGCGCGATATGGTAGTTCTTGAATCTCTTTTTAAATGGGCCCATCGATGATTAAAATTTGGCTTGAAAACGTTGGATCTGCTTGGAATTTTTCAAGAGTCCATAGAGCGATTTCGCTTGGGAAGGTCGAGCGGTTTCAGATCTTTGCACAAACTTTTATTGACCTCTACTTGATTTACTCGATACAATGCTGCAGCGTCTCGGTATCCAAAGACGTCGATACAAAACCATCTTACAGGTACAATATGCCCGGATATAATGTCATATAGCCATGGCTAAAGAAAAAGTCCGCTGCCCTCTATATTTGATTATAATCTTCTTCTTTGAAATATATTTTTACAGATTTATACAAATATTTTGAAATTTTTGCATTTTTCAAGTATTTATATTTGTGTTATGCTAAATTTTTCCACGTAAATGGTTTATGTTCGAAAGATCAAACAAATTTTGCGCACGAAAATTTTGCTCGGCAAAGTGAACAAAATTCCCCGCCATCTAGGCTCCCACACTCAAGTGCATTTTGGAACATTTAAAGTATTACAACGTCTACATTTTGTTTTTGCTAATAACAATAATAAATAATTTTAATTACTATTTTCTTTTTGTAATTTTAAATTATTCATTCCATTGAGTTAGTAGACGCTTGTGATGCAAAATATCCCGCCAAGCGTTGTGTGGCATGTAGACAAAAGCAACACCAACAAATTGCACGTATGCGCCAAGTGGCAGCTGTTGCATGCAACAACAATAGCAAATTAATAAATCTAAATGGTAGACATCGGCGCGCCACTGGGATTCGTTTCTGAATCGGGGCTATCAAGTGCAAGGTTGCGCGCTAGCAGGCGTCTAATTTTAGTAAAGACCGTTGGCAAATTGTCACTAGCGCGCATACCTAAACTTTATGTATACAGTAAAATCCCGATAAGACTTCGCTAACGTGAAAATATATAAATTTGTTTTTACATTTTTTAGATTTTTGGACGATTTCATTTTGAGACGGTACTACTCTTAGAGGTAATAACTAGATGAAAGACGTGGGTAAAATTTATTATTGTTATTGTGTGTAGAATTATCAATAATCTACTGTAGTAAATGTGATGCCACTTTGAAGGGGAATTCCAGGTAGATTGAATATTTTCTTAATATTGAAAATTAAATTTCTGTGCTCAGTTGACGCTGTAAAATTATAAGCAATTTAATTGAACTTCCAAAGACCGACTTTCTTTTTGGTGAGGTGAATTCCAAAAAGTAAATGGAGCTAAGTTCACCAGCGCGTTCTATATTTTCTCTTAATTGATTTAACCAACGCTTTGTCTGCGGCTTAACTCGTCGAGATGGCGTTGATCTATCATACATGTATCTGTATAAAAAATTTAGCTATTTTTCAAGATGTAAAAAAAAAAACGGAGGAAAATATGACCTCAGTGGATGTTACTGACTAAGTTTGTAACAGCCAAAAATGTTACTCAATAAACGGAAAACGCTGAATAAGGAAAACTTGTTGTTGACCTCGAACGTATGTAAGTAAGAAAGTCCATGTCCGTTCCTGTTACGACACCCGATTTTCAAGAGATTGATTCAGTATGTAGTGTTTACATTAGGCGTTTCGTAGAAACGATCATACCTCTACACAATTTATCTCTTAGGCGAGACGATGGGTATTTCATAAATGTTTTTAATCCAATTTATCCGAAGTCTATCGTCAATTAAACAGTTTCGTATCATCTGATCGAGTTTGACTCAAACTGATGAAAACATTTACTTTCCTTACACTAAAGCTATAATACCCAGCTCCAAATAAAACTTTTCATACAAAAACTTGGTTTTGGCCGTTTATATTGTATGATAGCTTTAGTGTCCCGATATCGGCGCAACTTGCTGGATAGAAAAGAATATTTCAATAAACTTGCTAAGAGTCTCGGCTGGGATGGCTTATTAGGGTAAAAAAAAACTTCCAACAAACTCGTTGTTAAATTTTTCGTCTTTCGTAAAAATGGTAAAAAAAATTTTGATTTGTTAGTTTATGTGGATCAGTCCGGGTCAAATTTGATCATGCGGTAATTGAACTGCTATTAGAGTTCCACAAGGCAAATATTTCGGAAATTTTCACATTTATTATTAACATTAGGGTTCGGCCTAAGTCGGGCTAGTCCAGGTCAATTTTGATCATTCGGTAATTAGAGCTCCACTAGGCAAAAATTTCTGCAATTTCGACCAGTCCTAGTCAAATTTGATCATGCGGTAATTAAACTGCTACTAAAGTGCCACCAGGCGAAAAAAAAAATTGCACATTTAATATTGAGGGGGCTTCGATGTCTCTATGTATTTCTATTTAAAAAGCACCAATCATCCTGGAACGCGACTTTCGTGGCAAAGCTGTGTATCACTTGTTGCACGCGGTTCATTTTGGCAAGAGTTGATCATTCACTTGCTCGCTGCTCAGCTAGCTGACTGACGTGGTTAGCGTGTCGTCGTGACGCGGAAGTGGCACACTCTTTCAAACGTCGGCGCGCTTCAAATCAACACGAAAACACTCATGAAACTCAAAAGGGCGGCGACGTGCACATACATACTTACATAGATACTTGTTTATGTTTTTATTTCGAAAATTTTGGCAAAGTTTTTATTACCGACAATTAAAACGAATTTTCGGGCGAATTATGAAAGGTGAAAAATCGCTGAATGCTTCTTATAATTTTGGGTAATTTCTGCAATACCAGTGCATTTTATGATGTCTCCATGAGTTTTTTGCATTTTTTGATGTGTTTTATGAAGCGTAATGGCATTTCCGTACAAAAAAACTAGTTGAATATTTTGTTAATGTTTTTAAATTATTTAATTTTCTATTTGCAGCGCTTCTTCTACTCTTGGGTCTGCAGCGCACAGACGCTTCACATTGGAGCTATCCCGACCGGGACTTAGATGAAGGTAATTATGGCATAAATTCAAATTTATATAAATAGCTTAATTCACGTAAGTGACCACTAAATGCACGCACTTGTTGAGTTCTAGTCAAGTGTACGAAATGTGATTTTTGGGTCTTTATTTAAAATAATACAAAAGTTTACTGTGTAGCAATTGCACCAAGTATGTCAATTTAGAATATACTTATGTATTAGGGTGACTCTTATGTATAGAAGTGAGATTTTTATACCGAAACATTCGGTAGGTGAAGTCGATACTAAGTCGACACAAAGTGGGGGCATGTCACACAGTGACGTACTTCCAGTTCTCCTTTGAATACTTCACAACTTGAATGAAACATACATTAAAAAATTTCGAGGTTCCTTAATTTAGAAAAAAAAAAAAACAAAAAACACACACAAAAACTTCAGATTTAATGGAGAATCTTTATTATCATTCGAAAGAACATTTTTTGTCATTTATTTTTTGAAGATTATCATTTTCAAATATTGGCGGCGGCTACGTCTCAGTGGTTCATCCTTTAATTCCAATTTTCGATGACTCGTCCGAGCATTTCGTCTTGTAATTGACAAATGACGCATGTGATGTTTTGCACCAAGTAGTGAATTGAGGCGTTATTGTCCACATAGACTTTAGACGTTACATATCCTCACTTGAGAAAGTATAACGATGTGATGTCCAACGAACTTGGTGGCTAATTGACCGGCCCGAAACGTGACTCACCGAAGTGTGCTCCCAATAAATCCATTCATTGATGTGATGTGAGGGAAGCGGGCCCGTCTTGTTGAAACCAAAGGTCGCTGAGATCATGAGCTTCAATCTCAGGTATTAAATAATCGGTTATCATGGCGCGATTACGGTCACCTTGATGGTTACGTTCTCACCGTCATTTTCGAAGAAATATGAATCAATGATTTCAACGTCAAAACACACCAAACCCTTGTGTTTTTTAAATGAAATAGCAGCTCTTGAATTTCTTCAGATTGCTCTTCAACAATGAACAATAATAACATGATAGCTTGACACGACTCACACGTGATCTGTCAAAAAATGGCCATAGAAAAAAGTACGTCTACTTGAATCGCCCGTTATAATATGCTAGCTTGCACCATCATATAGCTCTCTTGAAAAAATCATTTCATTCATTTCCCCGTGATTTGCAGTGTTTGCCCCTAAATAATTTAGTCACAATGAAATAACAGTAACTAAAAATATTCATCTCGATCGATTTCGCGCGATTATTTTTTACAACTTTTGACTCTACAGCTTTTGACAGCCCCATTAAGGACAAATGCTTATGGATGGTAGTACATCACTTCTAGAATAATTTCATGAAAGTCGTCCAAATGTTGTTGTTTCCGAAAATACAAACTATAAACAAACTCATACTACAATATTGTCATGTAACATATATGATGATTAATATTTCTTTTTGTTCTCTAATCGCAAAAAGTACCTCAAGTTACCATACTTTAAATATATAGGATTTAAGTAAAAATTAATTAAAAAAATTAAAGCGACGAATTCATGTTTTAAAAATTCGTAATATTACTTGAAAAAACGCAGAAAATAAAGCTCTTTCCACAACTTTAAATTTCAGGTAAAGATTGTTAATAACTTCTCACATTGGACGAAATTAATAAAATTAATTATTTGAGTATTTATAGAACAATCTGTTCTTTCAAATGTTTTCTAAAACCAATATTTAAATTTTATTTAATAGAAAATTATTAAGTAGCACACTAATGTGTTTACGTGTCTGATTGTATGCTAGCATTAGCCCACATTTGATCGCTACTTCCATTGTCACCGTGTAATTCATGCTTAAGCCACTTTAAATTCCTATAATTTGTGGGCATTCTGGGGTTTGGCGCGTAAATTGCTAAATTGCTCCACCCCTCATTATTCCAGATACATACTCGTATGTATGCAACTACATACTGTTGTATGTTTGTATGGGATTCTCCGGGAGACTAGTGGCAGCGAAATGGTCATTCTAAATTTTTACTGTTATTATATAGACTGGACAGCTATTGCCAAGCGTATAATTGCAAAATTAGCCCACATATGTATATTCATTTCCACATATGTATGTTAATATGTCTGTACATATGTATATATGCAAATATAAATAAAGTGCCGTTGCGCTTCCACTTGTGTCTTCGTTTCTTTGCTTAATTCGCGCAATTTGAGAATGTGTTTTTATTATTTTTTATTCACCGCTCTTATTGTTGTGGCCGAATGTCGGGCAATGACACCCATCGGAGACGCTCAGTCCATCACCTATCTTCCAGCGCATAAAGTGCCTTAGTAGTTAGCTAAAATTTTGGCGCAATTCATGTGATTTAAAATGCTAATTCGAGTGTACAAAAGCTAGACTGAGTCTAAATATGTGCGCTTGCTCACATGTATTGTGGGTAATTGAAAAATTAGTTGCTTGAAGTGGACAAACATGCTACAGCATACATAGCTTTGTAGTATATTAATATTAATTAGCTCGTACTTATATTCGAGAGCTTCTGCTTCTTTCTTAATATATATGTATATATATGTTTTTGGCAATCTACATATGAAATCTACTTACGAGGGTAGTAGAGTGAAGAATGTGGGGGACTATTATACCGCAAGCAATGGTTCGAATCACAGCTCAAATACGATTTTTTTAATAAAAATTTTGTAAATAACGGATGATTTCAGGTCTTAGTGTATTTCTAATATTTCTAAACTCTTTGAGAACTTCAGAAGGAGCTTGAACCCTTTATAAGGTGTGTTTGAAAGTAAATAGGGCTTAAAAAAAAAAAAACAAAAAAAACAAGAACAAATGGTTTTTTCGGCAAAATCAATTTATTTTATTCAAAATAGTTTCCTTCTGCTTCAATATATCTTTTTGCACGGCCCAAAAGCATGTTGAAAGAGTGTTTTAGCTCATTGGTCCGTATGGCCGCCAGCGAATGGCCTCTACGTCTGTATAACGCTTTCCTGTCATGGGCAAATGCGTTTTCCCAAAAAGGAAGAAGTCGCACGGTGCCATATCAGGTGAATACGGGGAGTAGTTAATGGCTAAAATGTAATTTTTGGTCAAATAATCGGTCACAATGGTGTTTTTCAAATATTGGTTTGTGAGCAATTTTTGGTCGTCAGTCCATTTGTGCGGAATAAACCGTGCGCACACCTTTCGTAAGCCCAAATGTGCGGCCAAATGCGATAAATCGAGGTCTTGGAGATATTCAATTCCATTTCCATAAATTTCAGTCATGACTTCGGCTGATTTTTGATGAACTCACGCACAGTTTCGATGGAATTTCCGCTGATCACGGGTGTTGATCGTCATTTATGTCCTCACGACCACTTTGAAAACGTTGAAACCACTCGTGCACTCTTCTACGGGATAGGCAGTCATCGCCATAAACATGTTTCATCAATTGAAACGTTTCGTTAAATTTAGATTTAAAGTTGGCTCTTGATTCGAAGCTCATTTTCGCACCGATAACATACACATACTGACACTCAGAACGCAATAACTTCGCTTCCATTCTATGAAATGTCATGAAATTCTCACTGGACAATCGATAAAGATAGCAGATTCTAATGCACCATTTTTTTTGTATTACTACGGTAATTCAGTTTTATCAAAAACACAAGCCTACGAGTGGTATAAAACCTTCAAAGACGGTCGAAAGAACATTGAATACATGCCTCGTTCTGAACGAGCTTCGACCTCTTGAATTGATAAAATGAGGAAGGATGTGGTGCTTGAAAATCTTGAGGCAAGTGTTAGAGAGATGTCAAGAGAGCGTTCTTGCTCCACTTATATCGATAACATGGAATTTTTTTCAAAAGGAGTACCATAAACAGGCCTCTTTGGACATGCTTGATCATGTGTGTTCCGATCCCACATTCCTGGTGAGCATTATAACTGCCATATGTTTACGAGGTTGACAAAAAAAGTCAACAATCATGGGAATGGAAGTAAAATAACGAGCCGAAACCAAAAAAAAAAAAAAAACGTGAAAGCAGCTCAAAAATCAAGGTGTTGCATCATGAATTTGTTCCGGAAGAACAGATGGTCAATAAGGAGTTCTTTTGTTCCATCTAAAACGGCAAAAATTTGTGAAAGAGCAATTCATAGTTTTTATACGACGATTTTTGCATACTTTTTTGATAATTTCCTAAATAAAAGGTAAAAAAAATGTGAAAACATTGATAAGTTATTTACACAAAACAAAGAAAAAAAAAACACTAATTATTATTTTATCTTCAGTAATTACAGACATGTACTAAATTTTCATTGGTTGTTTTTGTAGCCTTTTCTATAATTACTTCTTAATTACTTACAACAAGTAAACAACAAACCCTAATTGTATCCACACTTAGTGACAGCTGAAAACGCGAAAGTGTTGACAAATGTGCAATGATTAATATCTCTGAAATCCATAAGAAATTTTCACACAAACTTCTTAGATATATTTGTCAGATAATTACCAGAGAAATCACACAGAGAGAGAAATATAATTTTTTTTTTTTTTGTTCTTACAAAAAAAACAACTTTTCTTTGGTGGCAATTTTGTCAGCATAATCTTTGGTTAGTCCCTCATTATCATGCATTGTAATAATATATTTTTTTGGTTTTTGGATTTGAGATAATTTTAAGTAGAAAAATATTTCTCACTGCCTGACACCTTTGTTCAGAGCTCTTTGAAGAGTAGTATGTAATAATTATTTCTATTTTCTTTTTATATCTTCCAAACTTACTAACGCAGTCTTTCCAAGCTGGGGTGGGATTTGTGATACCGGCACTCTTCAGAGTCCAATCAATCTGAGCATAAAAAAATCATTGAAGGGTGTGTTTGACGAACTGAAACTTGACAACTTCGAAGATAAACAGAGCGGCGTGACAGTCGTGAATAACGGACATTCCAGTGAGTACAAAACTCCTCTAATTTATTAATTTTTCATTATAGTCATTTTCGTTTATAATAATCAATTTTACAAATACCTCGGAACAAATATTTCTGATACATAGTTCAACTGGCTAACTTTAACAATGAAATGGAGGTGGAAGGCGGTCCCTTACGAGATGAATACGTTGTCGAGCAAGTGCACTTGCATTGGTGGTCCGAGCACACCATCAACAATATGCGTTACCCACTCGAGGCGCACATAGTGAGTCGCAACAAGCGTTATGCCAATGTAACCATGGCGTCCAATTTCAAGGACGGTCTAACCGTTATAGCGATACTCTATCATGTCTCGAACGAGCGGAACAAAGCTATCGACCAAATCGTCGATTACTTGGATGATGTGAAGGATTTCGACAAAATCAACGAACCCGTGCGTATGAAGAATCCTTTTGTTGTGCGTCAACTCTTCCCGAAACTCAATGGTTACATGACTTATTCGGGTTCACTGACTACCCCCTCCTGCGCCGAGGCGGTGACCTGGATCGTGCTTAGTGAAACATTCCCAGTCACTTTGGAGCAGGTGAGTGCTTTTGCGCTAATTGATGTTTTAGTTTTTATTTATTTTTTGACAATTTTTGTACTATTTCGTTTGGATTCAGGTTGACAATTTCAAGCAGATCCAAAATGAGGAAAAACGAGTATTGAAGAATAACTATCGTGATTTGCAAAATGCCAATAATCGCCCAGTGATAGTTGTGTTGCCGGTGGATAAGAGCGTATCAGATGCGGCTAGTTCCCTGCAGCTTTCATTGGGCTCCCTGTTCTTCGTGCTAATCGCAGCGAAATTACTGTAAAGCGCCATCCCGTTTCGATCAGTGTTGGTAAACGTTGGAATTGAGATATGTGTACAAAAATATACAGCAATTTGTGCGATATTTCTTATGATTGGCCATAATTGAAACTGCAACAAAGTGACAATGAACAGAATATTTTTGTTTAATTTATTATTAATTGTATAGAATTTTTCAAATTTCAAAACTGTGTCATAACTCACTGACTTAGCTTTTAAATGTTTATATCTGTATGTTTACGCGTTATTATATTTAAGTTCGGGTGGCATTTCGTTGTTACATACAACTACTATGTATTTATGTATGTTTATGTCTATATGTTATTTATGTGTGTAAAATCGTTGTCCTAGTCAAATAAAAACTAAAGCAATGTTAATGTTGATAAAAGGTTTGTTTTAAAAAATTCTCAAAAAAATATGGTTTTATGAAAGTGTTAAGTAAATAATTACAGCATTATTATTATTATTATTTATTTATTTATTTTTTTTTTTGAACTTAAGTCGAAAATACATTTTTTTGGTTTTGGTTTAAGTTTATATTTTAGATATATTAAGCCGATCCTTAACTGAACTTGGAATGCCATAAACATTTTAATTTATGTTAGGTTCAATGGCTGACAGTTGCTGAGGGAAGAGAGCTTCAAAAAATTTTTTTAGCGTGCGCTAAGTTTAGGGGATGTTCAAACACTCAGTAGTAAGCCACAACTAGACAGTAGAGCTTTGACATGTTTTTATTCTGGTGAAATTTAGACAGCAGTGTTTTTGCTTACAATTGCAACAGTCTTAAGAGCCCCTTTACTTGTTCTAGTATAATATTAAGAATCTTAAGTGTCCCTTACTATAGATTTCTGCACCAACCTTTCTCCCAAGCTATGTATCGTCCGTAAGTAAACTTAAATAGTATGAAATATTCTAATGTCTTCAAAAACTTGTGATAACATGTGCTATTAGAACCAGTAATATTGATTGATTGTCCAAGATATTAACTCTAAAGTTACTCAATAATATCAGGATACCTAGATTCTATACTGAAGACTTGGTGGTATGTAGCACCGATATTATAAAATGCGAAAAATTGTATTTCACTAAGTTGGTAGGAGTATCCGTAATTAATGTGCCAAATAAAAGCGCGATCTGTCAACCAGTTTGTTTACAGCGGACGGTACACCTCAGTAATGAGTTTGGTCTTTTGCAATGTATAAAAATATCGAAGAAGAAAACACATGTTGGAAGAGGCTTCAGTCTCATCAAAAGCACATGCTTACGAGTAGTACAAATCGTTCAAAGACGGTCGAGAGATCGTTGAAGACATGCCTCATTCTGGACAACCTTCGATCTTTTCAACGTATGAAAATATTAAAAACTTGAAGGATGTGGTGCTTGAAAATCTTGAGGCAAGTGTTAGAAAGATGACAAAAGAGCTCGATATACCTTTCAGTGCCCTTTCGTTTGTGTTTAGTGGATATTTTGGGTATGACGCGCGTTCTTGCTCAACTCTTCCCGACATAGGTAAATTTTTTTTAAGAAGAGTGCACTCCCAAATTCATGGAGAAACCATACAAACAACTTAACAATTATCGAAATGGAGTAAAAAACGAGCCAAAACCAAAAATCCACTCCAAAGCCGGTAAAACATCAAGTTGCTATTCATTGTTTTTTCCATATTCGTAGTTTGGTGCATTATGAATTCATTGAATTATGGAGGGACAGACGGTTAATAAGAAGTGCAATTTGATCATATTCAGGCGTTTTGCGGGAGAACATCTGTAGAAAACGGCGGGAATTGTGGAAGAACAATTCATGGATTTTACATCAAGTATCCCTGTGACCGAAGTTAAAACCAAAAACGTCAACCACCGTATTCACCAGATTTGGATAGATGTGTTTTTATTGCTCCCTAAACTGATACTGTCACTTCGTGGAACCCGTTTTCAGTCGATCGATGAGATAAAACTAAATTCGCTGAAGATCATTCCTAAAAGTACTTTTGAAAAGTGTTTCGAGGACTGGAAAAATCGTTGGCGTGAGTGTACTACATCTGGTGAGGATAACCTCAAATTGCGACAAAATAAATATTGATGAATAATAAAATATTTTGTGTTTCATTTACAATTTCCGGGTCATAATGTACATAACTCTAAAGTACAACAAATTTTTCAGCTGTATTTATTTCTTACTTTGTCCACAGTAATCGATAAAGTTAGACATGTTTTTGTGGGCTTAGCGATTTTCGTTCGTTAAAAAAAATGGATCAAAGATTTTTTCATAAATTCTTAGCTATAAACAAAACAATACTTAATGCTGCCTGAGCCCCCATATTCGTTGCACATGATCCGTGTGACTTGTGCTAATTTTAAAAGTTAAAGCTCCCTTAAAATTACGTCGTTTCACAAGATTTCCAAAAGTAGAAAAACCGTAAAAGAGCGTCGTTCTACAAAATAGTTGAAAATAGCTGAATTAGGGTTGAAGAGTTTTAATTCTAGTATACTTACCTAGCTATCTAAAAAAAAAAACGCAAATGGAAATCGCAAAATCAGCGTCTTCCTAAGCTGTTCATTGGATAAACATAAGAGCAAATAACCAATGAAATAAGTAAGACACGTAACATCGTTAAGAACCAGAACGTTTGAGTACAAATTTATCCATAAAATGAAGGATAAGAGTCGAAGTGAATGCTGTGGAAATCCTATTTTCATCTACCTCAGTGAAAAACGGAATAAAAGTTAATGAAATAATATACATACATATATAATATCTATGTGTCGCAACCGCTAAAAACGCATTTGCCTCAAAAAAAGCCTTGTTATTGTAACTCTTGCTAATGCACGTATTTCCAATGTTGTATTGGTGCTTCAACGCTATTTGCTCGCGTACTTTCAGGCGAACCGCGAAATGCGCGGCCTAAAAGCATGCTAGAACAAGTTTAATTGTTAATAAATGAAATTGAATTGCATGACACAATATGATGTGATATCGCCGGAGCTTCCGATGTGATAACACCTGATACCATGCCATGTGATATAATCAGAAAATCTCATGAATTGTAGGGCTATTTAATGCTTAATTGCTTAGTTTTAATTTTTTAAGAAAAAAATATATAAAAATGTATTTAAATGTTATATTATTCAAAGTTGGCAACTCTACCAAGTAGACATACAGGGTTTCTTCGTTCGTGATATTTTATTATTAATTAAAATAATTTTTGTAAATTAATTAACTCTGACTGCCTAATGAATAGAGTAAAATATCGTGTTGCGAATACATACATTTTTTAGTTACTAATACTACTGTTAATGTGTCAATCTGATTATCAACATGCCACCTAAAAAGCTAATTGTAAACAACACATGTGGTAGCTGTTCTGAAAACGTGAGAAAAAACACCAAAGGACTGAGATGCTCTCTGTGCCAGAAGTGGTTTCATTCCAGGCTGAATTTGACGCAATAGCAACAAATATCAAGGTAAATCGTATCTTATGGAGGTGTCTGGAATGTAATGATTTGGAGGCTAGTGTAAGACATTCTGATGACTCGGAAGATGAAAGCGAGAATGACAATGTTGATAGACATGAAAAAGTCCTAAATAAACAATTTGAAGAATTTTTCAACAAATTTTATGATAATCTTGAAAACTTTAAATCTTCATTAGTGAAAGTATCACCGGGTTAAAAAACGAAGTTAAAGCGCTCGCCAAGCAACATGCCATCACCTATAAAAAATGCTCGAGTCTGAGTGACCGTATAACAAGTATTGAAAAGAATTTATGCTTCTACAAAATCTTATCGTCATCGCCATCTTCTCCTGAGGACATCATAAAAGAAATTAATGATCGTAAGAAGCGTGAGTTAAACGTTATCGCTCTTGGAATTTCAGAGTCAAAGTATTAGTCTCAGCTGTATTATCGGATGAGTTATCTGCTAAGTTAACTGGATTCAAAATCCGAAGATTTGGACGTTAGACACCTAACCGTACATGTCCTCTGCTTATAGAGACCCAGTCAGTTGCTGATGCCAGAGAAATCTTTAAATTAAAGCAGAGTGAGGGCTCTCAGTTTAGATTCAAACCAGACCTAACCCCTGCACAATAGACTCACCTTAATGATTTACGCTCTAAATTAAACACTCTCAACAAGAATGGTGACACAAGTAAAACAATCAAGTATATCCATGGCATACCCCAGATAGTTAACAAAAAGTTTTGCCCGCTCAGTGAAAAGGAAGAAACTCGAAGCTCTTCAAGTGTACTATCAAAACACGTGGGGGCTCCGAACAAAACTAAATAAATTTTTCGCAGCGTCTGCCGTCAGTAATATTGAACTCATTTGTATTACTGAATCATGGTTACACCCATCGATTCACGACGGAAAACTAATTGACTTACACAATTTTTAGGCACGATAGCGATTCAGTTTTGTCCGATCTAGAACGAGGTGGTGGAGTATTCATCGCAGTCAAACGCTACCTTCAAGCTGAACTAATTCAAATTGATCGACATAAACTTGAGCTTGTCTTCGTCAACGTAAAAAGCACTTCCCATGATATCATTGTCGGCAGTGTCTACATGCCACCTCTCTCAAACTTTGATTCCTATACTAATCTACTCACTCTGCTCTCTTTTATAAATGAAATCAATTTGCCTAGTAGTGTCCCCCGTGCGGACTGTGAAAGGATTCTCCAATGATGGTTTAGCTTTACTTGATTGCACTCAAGTAAACAACACAAGCAACTGTGATAACACTTTTCTTGATCCCTGTTACAGTAATATTGAAATTAGTGTTGATAAAACCCTACCATTTGTTGAAGAGGACAAATATCATCCGGCTCTCTCTATTAGTCTCAATTTTCGACCTAATCTTACATCACCGAGTTCAACTACATACTCCTTTAAGAAAGCCGACTATCATAATCTCAACGTTTTTTATCACCAGGTTAATTGGGTAGAAATGTATGAAACAGACACTATCGACAATGAAATTGCTTGGCTTTACAACAAGCTAGAGGAAGGCACTAACCTATATGTGCTTGTACATAAGAATTATGTCAGTAATTACCCTAATTGGTTCTCTTTTGAGCTTATCAACAGAATTAAGCTCAAAAATGCGGCTCACTCACAATACAAGAACTCTATTAATCGACGAGATTACGCTCGCTTCAGCATGTTAAGGCGTGATTGCAAAACTTTAAGTATTGAATGCTACAGAAAATACGTTAACAAAATAGAGAACATGGTGTAATCGGACACAAGTGCATTCTGGAAGTTCATCAAGGATAAGAAGTACAATAGTGTAAACATTCCATCCGAGATGTCATTTCTCGATCAATCTGTTACCACTGTTGAATCAATAAGTAACCTGTTTGC